GGGCCCGCTGTGCTCGGTAAGGGCTACGTGATCCCAGAAGTGAGTCAGGCCGCGGCTGCTGAAGCGATGCTCTTCCAATAGCTCTTCTTACAGAGTCTTCGGATTGACTGTGAGCCCCACGTGGAGTAAGCGCCCTGCTTCATCAGCAGGCTGACCCTGAATCGGAGCTCTCATGCTGTTTTTTGGCTGTGCAATAAAACTGCATCAAAGCTGCACGTGTGTTGCAATGAAAATGGCTTTGGCAGGCAGAAAGGCCCATCATGCCACAGCTGGAGTTGCAACGCCTGTTAAAATCTCACTGAAGTTACTAAGAAAGAACACTTGTTTCAATACAGAGGGGGTAAAGCCTCCATGACTTTCAGAAGCCAGACTGGCTTCTCAGAGGTGGCACAATTACTGTTTACAGAAATTAGAGAACTTCTGCCAACACCTTGCACGGGGTAACTCTGCCATTAATGTGCAGTACTAAGCAAAAAGCTGGTAATGCAAAGGGCAAGAGTCCATTCTGGAAATGCAGTCATTACAGTCATAACAGAAGTAAAGGTAGTTTATATTCCCAGTTACTAGCTAGACAATGGAACAGATTTCACACATGACCTTTTTTTGTAGCTTCATTGCCCTTCTTTGGACACGCAAAATTCATGTAGTATGAGGTTTGTGATAATGCACAGTATTTTCTTAGAGAAGAAATGCCTTCAACTGTTCCTTCACTTAATGCAGAGATGTAGAAAATAGCTACACATTTGAAACTGTTTTTACTTGTTCATTGCTTTTTGACAAGAAACATGAATTATATATATACTAATATTAAACTCAATGTTGGTTAAGGCTCAATATATCGATGACAGTGAAAAACAATCAACTCCAATCCAAAACCAAGAAAGATCCCAAACCTCATCTCACAGTTCAGATGAACAATAGGCAGTAATTTGGTATAACTGTGAAAGATACAATCATTGGACACATTCACTGGTTTATCTATCTGATTAGAATGAAATATTTTGCATTCTACCCAGAAAACTTTTAAAAGTGCAACAAGGCAATACATGCATTTATCATGCTGTAACAGCATCTTCATTGATGAGGACAGAAGTGTACTTGCAGCCTGGAAAAAGGAAGTTCTTTTACAGTCACACATGCACTACACAAGACCTTGCCTAGACAACAGCAGAAAGCAAAAATTCCTTTCCTAAGTAGATCTAACAATCTAAGACAACATTTTCAAACATGACTGGCTGAAGTCCACAACTAAAATAAAACTAACGTTACTTTCAGTACTGCCACATTTTATGTATGAGTCACAGTTATAAGAGTTAATCTCAGTTAAAGGCAAACCTTCTGGTCTTCAAGTTTGTGTAGCTATTAAGAACGTGCTTCCCAGTGACCACTGTCCTCTTACAAAAATGTATTTGCTTTTCATCCTGAATGCATTAGCAACAACAGTATAGCGGTAAACCAAAGGATATGTGTAGGCTTTGCTCTGAAACATATATGGAATCCAGAAGAATAATTTGTCTGTGAAAGGTCATGACTAATTAGTACAAATAAGATAGTATATTGGTCTATATACCTACAGAGTGCATAATATGGTCCTCTGTTTAGTAATACAGAAATAAATATCACACTTTGAGTTGCCAAGTGCAATTTTTTAAATGTACAACAAACAAAACCAGAAATTGAAATAAGCAATTATCTTAATTTCATAAATAAGTCATAAAGAAAAAAAAAAGAAAACACTTTAATATTCCTTTTAAGAAATAAATTTATCTTTAGGTACTGTTTATTATCTCAAGCATGCCTTGTATAAAATGTTTTCAGATAAAAAATGTACAGAAACCAGTGATTATCAATACTAAGTGCTAGTATGGCAACTAAATTTTCTAGCTATATATCTAAAGAAATTAAATAGTTTGTCACTGTTTCTGACCCAAGAAAGTGAAGTACAATATTGCTCAAGAAAACCTAAGTTATGCAAATGCAGCTCATGTCACGGTGCCATTTTTGAAAAATACTTCTGTTTTTTTAATTTACTGGGAAAAAAATCCAACCATAACAATATAAATTCTTCAGTGTTAAAAGGCCTTTGAATGAAAGTTCTTAGGTACTGTGTTACTGAAATCCATCCCAGATTAATTGAAACTGTGTGAGCGTAACACCTAACAATCTGATACTGAGCAGTAAGAACTAAAGAACACTTACTCATTTATCCATCACTGATAACTTAACAAGACCATGAAGAAAGAAATCTATTACAGTTGCTTCAGTAGCAACAGCTATTAAAAATGCAATGAAGAGTAACTATATCATTTTTTGTCCATTTCGATGGAATCTGGAGCAATAGAACTGACACCAACTCCAAGGCTGAATCGTCTCAAAGATAATTCAGAGGGAGGAATACAACGTAGCTCTCGGCGAGATAGTGGTATTGGAGTTACTCCTTGAAACTGTGTTATGGTTTCTCTTCTGTCAGTGGCAGAAGGTAGCTGCAGATGAGATTCTGAAGGTTGAGCTTCATCTGTTCCTCTTCTGTCATCACCAGCACTTGACAAACATCCTTTGTTGCACCCAAATTCTGTAAGATGATCACCAAGCTCGTATGAATTCTGCTGTGCATTGAAACTACTTATTTTGTCTGTTTCTTTTATTTTCCCTGGTTGACTATTTGTTTTGGTGTTTAATGTTGACTTGAATCCTTCAGAAGCAACTTCTGCTTCATCTTGACTAGCTGTCTTGTCACCAGCACTGTGACCTGAAACAAAATTTGTCAGGAGACAAAGAGCTACAAATTACAACTCTTCTTGAATGCCTGCCATCAAGAAATATTAGTTAGTCAATATAGTTTTACGGTATCAGTAACTTGTAGTGTGAACGTGGTAAAAAAATTATCAGCACCTCATATTTTGTCCTTTCTATTAAAAATTTTGTCATCTACAGAAACATCAGAGGCATTAGACATTACTTTCCTCTGACTAGGTGCTGGTAGTACGAGCATTGGTGTTCTAACTTGCATCTTAGTAAGCAGTCTTAAAACAGCTGAACCATGGCAGTCAAATAATGAAATTATTTATCTCTTGAAAGCCTAGGACAACACACAAAACACACTCTGCAAATTTGACAAAGGGCTCTTACTATTGTTAAAGTTCAGCAACAAATTATAAAGGGTTTTTTTTTTTTTGTTGTACTGTACTGCAGCATGCCTCAAAATGTGTTCAAAAGAAAAATAACTAAATACAGAGTACTTTTTACAAAACTTATGGGTACAGCTATTTGAAAAAAAGTTGGAAATTCACAGTGATCTTCTCTCTTCTTGTCCTTGCTACAATTTGGCTAGGATGGGTGTTTCCCCAGACAGATATATGTCCTACTACATGCTTCTTTGTATACCAGACAAGGAATATTCCTTCCCACACTATTTATAAGCCAACTCTAGAATATTTCTGTTCACAGTTTGACAATGTACTTTATAGTAATGAATGTTTTGGCTCATTACACTGTGAAGGGCAAGGGCTGAGCCTTTATTCACTCTGGAAGTGACAGGAATGTGATCAGCATCTCTGCATTAGCAAGGTATGTCACTGCCCAAGTGGAAAGAAACAGAAGTATCTATTGGGAGGAAGAACCTGTCAAGCTGAGCCTTAAGAAGAAACAAATATTTAAAGATAACATGCTTACATTTAGTGGATGCCAATAATTGATGGGATGACTCTCCAGAGCGGACCTTCAATTTCTTCTTCAGCTCTCTGCTGGTTTTCTTGTAGAGAAATGTGTCTTTTTCCAGTTGCTGGACATTTACTTCACAGCCTTTCAAGGTTTCTGCAATACCTTCCCTATCTTGTTCTAGGACAAGTAAAACTAGTTTAAGAAGCAAATATTTAAGTGCCAAAACTCAAGATGCCCAACTAGACAGAATATGTGTTGTATCAAATATTTATGTAATTGTCAGTAGACCATTTGAATGGTCGTGTGCACACAGAAGTAGATCAGATAAATACAAAAATAATATTTTTCTCAACCGTTCTCCAGGAATATATTATAGTTCTCCTCCAGTTTCAAAGGAGAATCAACATTTTGTTGTTTTGTAACTGTAGCAGTGTTACACCAGTGGTTTAAATTCTTGTTCTGTTTTATCTGGAGTTAAACATGATTCCAGCATCTAGAACCTCATACTGTTGTGGTTAAGGTAAAGTAATTCTACTATCTGAGATGTTCTGAATGACATTGTAACTAACTGTTTTCTCAAATGCCATGCCTTGAGATAGTCTGCTCCCAGCACTTGATATAATGAAAGTTAGTTACTGGGAGATTGTCAGTGATTAATTCCACACTTTCAGATACTAACTTCAGTGATTTGCTTACTAAGGCTAAAAGAGAGGATGTACAAATTTGTAGAAAAAAACCCCAACCCAACAGCTTTCTAATGTGATTATGTACTTTTACGTAAAACAAATAAAGAAAAAAACCAACAACCAACTGCTACTGTCCTCCGTGACAGAATCCAAACCTACAATAGAGCTATTCGGGTGGAGGAGAAAAGAAGGTTCATTTCTGTCATTTTGCATGTCTCTAATGCAATAGTGCCACCACCAATACCTCAAAAGCACAATACAGCCTTCTTGATCCTATGTTTCTTCTTAAATAACTAAAAATAACTAAATACAGAGTATTTTTTACAAAACTTATGGGCACAGCTATTTGAAAAAACTTGGAAATTCACAGTGATCTTCTCTCTTCTTGTCCTTGCTACAATTTGGCTAGGATGGGTGTTTCCCCAGACAGTTACATGTCCTGAACTACATGCTTCTTGGTATACTAGACAAGGAATATTCTTTCCCACATTATTCTTTGGCAAGACCAAGATCTAGAAAAGGAAGGAGGCAACCAATTTTTCCACGATGTCACTCAGTTTTCTCTGATAGTAAATTCTCAGAAAATTAGGATGAAATTATGTCTTATAAAGTCAAAAGGGAACAATATGCTAATTTTTAATAAAGCTGTAGCATAATACTTTTCTATACAGCCTTTCAGTTAAAGCATTCTATAGGATCTTTACAGTATTTTTTAGATTCTAAAGAATCTTTATAGGTCCTTCGAATCCTAAGTCATTAATTGTCCTGAAACTACTTAGCAATCATACACATCTGGGGAGGAAGCTGTGTCATGCTTTTGGAAGCGTGGACAAGGTGAATGATTCACCTCATGTTACACAGGAAGGCAGATATATCAGCTAGGCTGATATACAGACTTCAGGAATCACACTATTGTGCTTCATCCACTAGATGAACCTAACCATTCAATGATGCAGTTCTAATTCAAACAAAATGCCTGTAAGACTGACAGGTACTTATGTCCAAAAAATTCCTAAGGGACACGTCTTGAAATAATGACTGCATTCATACAGTAGAAAGAGGGCTCAACACAGACATATGTAATGTGTAATAAAGGAAAAATACCTGTAACTTACGTGTTTCTCGAGCCTCCTTTAAAGATTCCAGTAGTTCCTCATTTTCCTGTAGTAATGTCTTTCTCTGGTCCTGCAGTGTATGCGGTTCCTGATTCTTCAGGCTAAATACTTCTTCATCCATCACTACACTCTGCTACATAATAAAAGTTCAGTTGGGCAGAAGGGGACATATTATTCTTATAGTTTGAAAATGACAAAAAAGACCCCCAAAACCTCATTTGTTCTTAAAAGATGTTATCAGAACTGCTAAATTTAGAGGTATACATAGCAAATTGCCTAATGTGGTTATGTGTGGTTTCTAACTCACTGCAGCCGAGGGAGGACCCATGCTGGAGCAGACAGATACTCCTGAAAGAATTGCTGCCCATGCTGAATCAGAAGAAAGGTATGAGGATGAAAGAGTAGCAGAGAGAAATCACTATGTACTGATCATATAGTACCTTCCTATGTTCATGCACCACTCAGCAGTGAAGGAGAAGAGTATGTAGTGAAGAAGTGAGATAAGTGGAAAAGGGGGCAGGTGAGGACAGGTGTTGTTTCAGTGTTTGCCTTTTTGTTCCTGAAGTGCTAGAGCTTGGACATTAGGCCCAAGCCAGAGCTGACCTACAGATGAACCCTGTACTTATTTTGTAGATAATCACCTCTGTGCTAATTGGCATTGTGTGAGGTTTTAATTATAATTTTAAACGTATCAGTGATTTTATCATGCTTATGCTGTTAAACCAGATATTTTAGGGAGTTTTGCATCATCTTGTGCAACTGACCACCAAAATATGGCTTACACTGATAAAACGTCTAGTCAAGATATCTTAGGGAACCCTTCCAACCTTGTCCTGGGCTCTGGCCAAGCCCTGGTCTAGGTTGGTTGGGGCTTGTACCACTAGATGTTTCCACACAAAGAGGTATGCAGGTCATTTTGACTTGCTAATGTGGTATTATAAAGGCTGGACCCTCTTACAATGAACTTTGGAGACCTCATTTACAACTGGATGCAGTGCGTAGGATTTCCCAGTTGCCAGGAAGGGCTCTCCAGATCCTTGCTGCAACCAGGGCTCCCCAGCCACTGAGAACCTGGATGATGGGAACGTATTAGGGGAACTGATGATGTTGTGATTCTGAATCACTACAGCTGCTTCCTGTGTAGTAATGATTAGATGCACTGCCATGCTTTGCTTTGACTTTGCTATAGTATTCTAGTTTTGTTGTATTTCTCTTTAGAAGATATTGTATATGTTTGTTTGTAGTGGTCATTGTATCATTTTTAACCTCAGCCAGTAAAGACAAGATAACTTCTTTGATTGATTTGGTGTCTGTGTCCTTTGTGCTGTTCTCATGGTAAAGCATAAATTGGCAAAACAGTTCCTCACTACCAAAAAGAGTAATTAGCATTTTTTTCTAATTGGAAATAAATTAAATTATTAAATAATTAGTAAGCAATCCTCCTGTCTTTATCTCAATGCACAAGCCTTCTCATTCCTATTCTTCCCATTTTCTCTCCCTGAGTCCTCCTGATGGAAGAGCAAATGAGTGGCTGGGTGGGAGTCTAGATGTTAGCTATCATGAACCCACTATGCCAGTATTTTTATTTTGTGCAAGACAGCATTATCCAGGTAATCATATCTGTTAGCAAAGATAACATGTATGTTCGTAAAGGTAATATGTATGTACACACAGGAATAGGTTCACTGTTTGCTATTTAACCTGTCCCTGCAAGCCCTGCTCTAGAGTCTGTACTGTTTCATTTATTTTAACCTGTCCTTAACCATCTCCTCGTGGTTGTGGATGGCATACTGACCTGGAGAAACTTAAGTTTAAACTCAGTTCTTACACTGTTTTGAACCAGGGAAACAGAGATTTAAAATAAGCTACAGAAGAAAACAAAGAATTAAGTAAAAAGCTGTGATTTAGATAGATGGAGAATAAAGAAAATGATTTTTTATATTCAATTGTCTGATAACAATCCACAGGCGTATCACAGTTTGTTATGCAAACTGAATATGGGTGGATCTTAAAAATTTCTAACTTGTTGGAGCATTGTATCCTTCTTCTGTAAGACAGACTCAGATTAGGTTTTCCATCTTGTGACAGAACTTCATTCACTTTCAAAGTAATGTACAGGTATTTTAAGTTATAACAATATTTTTCATTTGAGTGCTTGCTCACTTTCCTTGCTCCTCTCCCCTCACTCCCAGTGGGATCGAGGAAGAGCAAAGGAAGAGTAAAAGCAAGAAAACTTGTGGGTATAGAATGAAATATTTCAGTAAGTAAAGGTGAAGTGGAAGAAGACAGAAAAAACCCAGCACAAATAATGCAATGAGCAAGTACTTGAAAAAGATCACTTATTTCTTCCCACAGGTAGAGAGATGCCCAGCCAGCTCCTGAGCAAAAGACAGCTAGTGTACCTAGAATGTTTTGATTATATCATATCATATCTATTCTCCTCTTCCTTTTTTTTTTGCTGAACATGTCAGATGATGTGAAATACGTCTTTGGTTGGTTGGAAATACCATCTGCCCAGTTGTGTCCCCCTGCCCTTGCATGCACCACCCGATCTGTTCACTGGGTTGGCAGAGGGAGAAACAGAGACAGATTTGAGGATGTGCAAACACTGTTCAGCATGACCTAAAACCCTTGTGCATTTTCAGCACTGTACTGCTCACAAATTTAAAACATAGCACCCCACAAGCTGCTATGAAGAAAATTAATTCCATCACATCACAGAATCACAGAATCCTAGGGGTTGGAAGATCATCTAGTCCTATTCCAGTGCTCTGTCACTCTCACAGGAAAGAAGTTTTTTCTGATATTCACATGGAACCTCCTATGCTCCAGTTTGCATCTATCACCTTTCCAGGGATGGAGGTGAGGCTGACCAGTCTATAGTTACCCGGGTCCACCTTCTTGCCCTTCTTGTAGATCAGGGTGACATTTGCTGTTCTGCAGTCCTTAGGCACTTCTTCTGTTGCCTATGACTTACCAAAGATGATGGAGAGTGGCCTAGCAATGATCTCCATCAGCTCCCTCAGCACCCTTGGGTGCATTCCATCTGGTCCACCGATTTATGGATGTCCAGATTGCTCAACTGATCCCTAACTCAATCCTCATCTACTATGTCAAACTCCTCCTTTATCTTGGCTTCTTCTGGGGCTATAGGAATCTGGGGCTCCTGGGGAAAGCCTGCAGGAGTAAGGACAGAGGCAAAGAAGGCATTCCACACCTCTGCCTTCTTTATATCCTCTGTCACCATGACACCCACGTCATTCAACAGGGGGCCTATATTGCCTCTAGTGTTAGTTTTGTCAGCTATGTATTTGAAAAAGCCCTTTCTATTATCCTTGACCTGACTTGCAGGGTTTAGTTCCAAGGAGGCCTTAGCTTTCCTAGTTGCCTCCCTGCATCCTCTGACAACTGTCCTATATTCCTCCCAAGTGACATCCAGATCCAGTACAATCTCCACTCCATATTCCATACCTTTTATGTCATGCTCAAGTCCCACATGCACAAGTGTCCCCCCAGTACAACCTCATTGACCTTCTGTACCTTCTCATCCTTTGATTTATACAGAAGTATCATTCCCTTAGTCTATGGGTCACTCCTGTAAAATATACACAAAATGTTCCTAAATTGTTTACTGAGTTAATTTAGTCCATGACTTGCATTCTGTCTATTATGTTGGTCACTCAGGAGAGGAGAGGCACATTGAGTTACTGGACATCAAAACCAGCTCTGGCTGCACCTGCCCATTTTTTTTTTGGTGAGGCTTGTTTTCTGCTGGTTTAGGTGACTCTGGCTGCAGTACTTCCTAAAATACACAAGTCAAATAATGGAATATTTCCCCCCAGTGTTCAATCACTTGAGGTACACATCAGATTTCCTCATCATGTGTACCTGGGTCCTTGAGCAAAAGCAGTCCCACAAACATGTTTGCCTTTTCCCAAGGGAGGAACAATCCAGTCTGTCTTTCCCAGCCAGTTCTCTACACACACTGTATGGACATTATCTCCTTCTCTAATACAAAGAGTTTTTGTTTGGGCAGGTCCAGGTGGGCTAGGTAATCCTTTGATATTAATTAGCCAAGTGGGTTCTGCTAAATTTACATCCCACTGCTGACATGTCCTGGTGCCCATTGCTTTCAGTACGATTTTAACAGTCTATTGCATCATTCAGTCCTTCCAGAAGCTAAAGCATGAAAGCTAATGTGATACACCAGATCAATGCCATATTTTCTTGGTCAGGCGCTTATGAGATTGTTTTATAGATGAGTCCTGTTTTCTGATTCAGTGCCTCCTGGGGTACCGTCTCACCACAGAACTTGCTTTCCAAGGTCCAGGACAGAGATTTAAAACAAGCTACAGAAGAAAATAAAGAATTAAGTAAAAAGCTGAGATGCAGTTCCATAGCAAGGAAGGGGAAGAGAGATTTGCTTTGAATTGCTGGAGCCTCTGTGCCAGCCAAATACATAATTGTTAGGTTGCTGGTGCCACACAGACCATGGGCACTGGATGTCATTTGGATCTTTGGGGGCCTGATTATTGTGCATGTAACTACAGACCACCTCCCACTGCTTCCCTCAGACACCAGGTACTTTTCTCTGTGGCAGTCCACTTGCCTCACTGGATTACCATACCCTCCTTAAGAGTATACCCTGTCTTTGTGCTCAATAAGAGCTGTGGGTGGCTGCCCCTCTTCTGATCCATCTGCCAATCCCACAGTTCCTAAAGATGGATCCCAGCTGTTGTACTTCCCCACACAGTTCCAGACTGTGACCCCCACTATCTTAGCACTGGAGCAAACAGGTAGCAATTCTCTCATTTTCCTGACAGACGGTATCTTTCCACCTATCTTGCAGCTTGGTCACGGATAGGGACTGAGTAGTTTCCATCTCTTAGGATTTGTATCTCTTTCCTCCCCACCCTGCTGCAGATTAGGCTGCTTTTGATTGTTCCTCTCTCTTCCTCTCAGGAGAAGATGCTTCTTCTATTAAATGAGTGACCTCTCCTTCGACTGTTTCCTCTAGACTACAGGAGCAACTATCATGGTTGAGTGTTCAGTCCCTAGTTTAGTGTTTGTTCATGTGGTTTCAGAGCAGGAGACATTCTCAGTGCCTGTTTGTGGGCTCTTAGACTGAAAGACCGTCTAGCATCTCTGTTAGAGCACTGGACAGCAGTTTAATAGGCACTGACCAGGTCCCAACACAGCCTTAGAAGTCACTGTGTTTCACCTCCCTTCCTTCAAATGGTGCATTATTTTGATGGGTTTACAAGCCTGTTCAGGCTTGAGATCCCAAGCTAATGCAGGCAATAACAGCCCCGTTCACCTGCCCAACTCCTCCCATACCACCTCAGAGATCAATTGCCTTAGAGGATGCTCCTGTGTGGCATCCCAAATTAGTTGTTTAACCTTATGAACAATAATCAAAATCAGAATCACAACACACACAAGCATAAACAGTCTGATTACATGAGCTTATTGAAGGGACAGAGAAGCCTCAGTTACATAAAGGCTATAAAGGCCTATCCTGAAGAAGGGGGATAGATGCCATTCTTTCCTCTCTCCACCAAATGTCTCTCAGAGGTGGAAAGGGGAATGATATAGTTGCTGGTTTTGTTAATGAGACAATTCTTGGAGTACTGGGACATCAGCGACACAAGACCTAAATACCAGATAAGGCTGAAGGCCAGGGGTTTTATCAAAGCTCTCCCAGGCAAAGGAAAATAAACTGATAAGCAGCACAATAAACAGTGAAATTTGGAAAGAGTCATTAATGACTCCTGGAGCCTGTTGTACAGCTAGAAAGGAAATAAGCATTGGGATATTTGAGGAAACACGTAAGTCAGCACCTAAAGTAAATATGCCAGCATCATGATCTGCCGCAGACACTCAAATAACAACTAACCAGATATAACATCTAGAAGTTTAATCCAGCACATTTTAATAAAATCTGTTACTACCTCAAATGCCCTGAGCCCCACATTGGAAGCCAAGAAGGACTTTGTGAGTTAAGTCCAGTAGACAGCTAAGCACACATAGCTTCTTGCTCACGTTCCTTCTCAAACCCCAGGAGGACTGGGAAAGAGCAAAGGAACAGTAAAAGCATGAAAACTTGATGGTCAAAACAGAAATTGTACAGTAAAGGTGGTGTGGAAGAAGAGAGAAAGAAAAAAAGAACAAACAAATGGTGCAAAGGCAACCAATCACTCACCACCTCTCAAGTCTGACTGGTGCCCAGCAAAATACAGCTAACCTCCCTAAACCTCCTTCTCTCCCTTTTAATTGCAGGGCATGATGTCATGTATGGGATGAAATATCTCTTTGGTTAGTTTGAGTCATCTGCTTTGTGTGTCCCCAGCCTCTTGTGCACTCCCCAGTCTATACCTTGAGGGCCAGAGGAAGCAACAGAGAAGGCCTGACACTGTGCAAAGGCTGTTCAGCAAGACTTAAAATGTTAATTGTTATCAGCATTGTATCGGTCACAAATCTAAAACAAAGCACCCTACATGCTCCTGTGAAGAAACGTAACTCTGTCCCAGCCAGACCTAGCAAGCTGGCATAGATAAAACCAAAAATCTAAGGAATAAAACAGAATCATCTTGAAACTGACTAGTCCAAATATAACACAACCTATCTCTATCATGATTAAGATGATGGTCTATTCAATCATCCATTAAAACAAAGTTACATCCCAGGGATTAGATAAATGAAATGACACAAAATTGTGAATTAATTTAAAATGCCAAATTAAGTACAGGTAAGCTTAACGGTTTTATATATTTTGAAACTGAATTCAAGTTTTAGCAGACAGCTCTTTCACACAGATATTTAAATAATCAACTTATAACTAAATACCTCATGTTTCTTTAGTTCCCTGTTTAGTTGGAGAATTGTGATGTCATGTGGCGCTTGGCTGGTCCCAGTCTCTGTGTCAGTTTCCTGTGTGGTGAGAGCTTCCTTCCTTACTTCCTGTATCATGGTGATCAATCTCTGCAACCTGTCCTGCTGGCTTCTTTTCAAGCTAACATTATTGTTCAAATCAACCAGAAATGAGAAGACTTCATCTACACAGTTTCTATAATTCACACATTGAAACTGAAGCTGGGTGTTCTGCTCCTGCAGTGACCTGACACAAATTCTTTCTTGATTTAAGTCATGTGAACACTGCAAAGCTCCTAGAAGCCATCTCTTTTCAAGTTCCATTTCATCAGTCTGGTCATGATCCAGGTTGTAGTTTACAACTACTTTATTTCTAATGTTTTTGACTCTGTTGGCATATTTGAGGGAATGTAAAGATTCATGTAAGTCTGATGAGGATGGACTTATACATGTTATCATGACAGTCTTGGAACTTCCTCCAAGAGAGTCTTTCAGAATATGAGTGATTTTAGCATCCCTGTATGGAATATGTCCCCTTTTCTTTTTTGGGTCTCCAAGGGCTCTGATGACATTTCCCAAGACAAGCAGACCACTATTTATCTGAACTGATTCTTTAAAGCGTTCACCAGTACTTCCAGTCTTTGTCACCCTCTCTGATCCTGCCAAATCCACAAAATGAAACTTTGAAGCAATCATTGGGACTGATTTCCTAGATGAATCCTGTGCAGCATCAGTCTTTTTTTGAGATTCTGCAGACTGTTTCTGACAAATACCGATGGTGAAAACAGCATGAGATCGACTAGAGTGCTCATTAACTCGTGTTCTGCCTGTGTGACGAGCTGAATTGCCACTTTCCAACAGGCTTATCACTTCATCTGCACATTCTACTTGAAATTCCTTAGCACCAACAATCACTTCAATCACCAAACCATAGAAAGTAAGAATAATTCAATTAATCTCAAACTCTTCAGCAAGTTTACTGCAATTAGGAATAGTCAAACTATAAAACACAAATCATAGAAACAGACAAGCCTGCATTATTATGAACTCATAGAATATAGCTATAGAAAAAATGAGACTTTGATATGTGAAAAGCATGAGACACAATACAGCTGAAACCTGCAGATGTGTAATATATTGGTGTATTGTGTCATAGCATTCGAAACAATATCTTAAACGTAATACACAGCTTTACTTACTTACATATTACACTAGTTCAAAGGAGATTTTGCCAGTTAAAAAAAAAAAAAAAAAAAAAAAAAAAAAAAAAAAAAAAAAAAAAAAAAAAAAAAAAAAAAAAAAAAAAAAAAGACTAAAAAGAAAAAAGTTTGTAGTAGAAATGATTCCAAGCCAAGGGTATGAACAAAATTTCCACTCTATGTAACTCAGGTAGTTGCACATTTTGGACAAGCATCTATTAGTAATCTAATAATGTGGAAGTATATTTCTACCAAATACTCCTACTAAGCATATTTTTTGTCCTTTGTTTTACTGAAGGATAGAAAACAAAGCACCATCAACTGCAGCTGACTCAAACTGCACTAAAGAAGAGAAACAGTTCAAAATATATTGCAGGTTCTGTATGAAACAGTGACATTGTCTGCAAGTTTCATGCTGAATTAGTTCCTTCTGCCAGCTACAGACAAGAAACACATGCCAGCTCAATGCAAAATAATATTAAAGCAAACACAACCATTAAAATATAAAGATAATAAAATAAACCAGATTATGCAGTTTCAGAAAAAAATATCTCTGCAGTAGATTCTTCTAGCACTTTCATGTAGTACACAGAAGAACTATAGGCTAAGTGTTAATTTCAAAGCCTCCAAAAAATAAGAGATGCTCCTTTCAGTTAGATGTTTTCTTCCACTTGTTTCAGAGCGAACAGGGGGCAGATATTTACAACTTAAGTAAGCTTAATTTTGAAGGTAGAAGCAAATCTTTAACCTGGAAATACTTATTTAAATGAATAACCACAACATTCATAATGAATAAGCTCTTTCAAGAAAAGGTTAAGTGTAATTTGGGCACACAACTGAAAATAAACACATCAAATTTTGGAGCTCAACTATTACCTATAGTTCCCTTTTTATCTTCTTGGATACGTAATTTTTTCACAGGTGTCTCCAACTCCAATAAGTCTCGAAGTTCTTCCTTGTAAACCTCTACATAAGATACTTTCACATGGAAGTCAACATTAGGGTTTTCAGAAATATGCTGAAATAATTCATGAATAGCCCGTGGAATTATGCCCATTTCATTCTCTGCAACTGATGCTAAAATACAAGCAAAGAAGTCACAGAAGCTTGCAGTCATTAACAGGATTCAAAGTAAAGTTCAAAATTACATAATGTTATAGTAAATAAAGTTGTGAAAAATATGGAAAAATTTAAATCTATACTCCTCAGAGTACAAATTTATTTCTACTCATTGTGGTTGGCTATGACATCTCAAGGGTTTGAGAAACTATAAATTCCAGTTAATTTAGCAAAGACCATTACTAACTTGCTGAGACAAAGTTTATGACCAACATTTACAGTAGTTTTATATTTTTCAAAGCAGATATGGAAAACTAATGCCAAACTTTTTTTTTTTTTAATATTCAGAATAAAACAATGCTTCCATAAAAATATTTGTGTTTCTTATTCAAGAACACAAAAACTAACTTTGTCTGCAAAAGAATACAAAGTATCTTTCTTCCTTATAGAAGAAAAAAGGGTTGCTTACATAAAATTATGGATTTAGTAAATATGCACATAACACCAAAATTGCTGGGCTACAAACAGCTGTAGGTTGTGACATCCATTACCTAAATAATTTGGCTGGCAATGGTGCTTGCAGTAACACTAAATAATTACTACTGAAGGGAAGACAAGTGAAGTTATAGCAGTAGGCACAATTAAGAGGCCAAATGTTTGAGATCCAACAAGGTCAAGTGCTGGGTCCTGCACTTTGGTCACAACAACCTCAGACAACATCACATGCCTAGGGGAGAGTGACTGGAAAGTTGCCCAGAGGAAAAGGGCCTGGGGCAGTGGTCAACAGCCATCTGAATACAAGCCAACAATGTGCCCAGGTGGCCAAGAAGGCCAACACCATCCTGACCTGCATCAGGAATACTGTGGCCAGCAGGACCAGGAAAGTGATTGTCCCCCTGCACCTCTAGTACTATGTTCAGTTTTGGGCATCTCACTGCAAGAAGGACATTTTGGTGCTGGAGTGAGTCCAGAGAAGGTCAACAAAGCTGGTGAAGACTCTGAAGAACAAGTATTATGAGGAACAGCTGAGGGAACTGAAGTTGATTAGCCTGGAGAAGAGGAGGCCAAGGGGAGACATTATCACTCTCTACAACTACCTGAAAGGAGGTAGTAGCAAGGTGGGGGTCGGTCTCTTCTCCCAAGAAACAAAGGATAGGACAAAAGTTAATGGCCACAAGTTGCATCAGGGAAAGTTTAGATTGAATATTAGGAGTATTTTCTTCACTGAAAACATTGTCAGGCACTGGAACAGGCTGCCTAGGGCAGTGGTAGTCAACCTCCCTGGAGGTATTTAAAGATGTGTAGATGTGGAAGTTAAGGACATGGTTTAGTGGTGGACTTGGCAGTGCTGGTTTGATGATTGGACTTGATGGTCTTAGGGGTCTTTTTCAACCTAAATGATTCTGTGATTCTAAATAAAAGGACGATTTTAATATCTACCAAGAGGCTTAAAATAATATATTTATATCCATTTGGAATATATAAATAATATATTTCTACGATACCATAGAAATACCTCTCTCTCAAAAAAAGAGCAAAGATTGAACAAGAAAACAAAAAAAAGCAGTTGTTTTTAGGATAACATAAATGTAGCAAGCATTTCAGAAACACTGCATGTTAGAAAGAAATTCTAGTTTAATTTTCGAGTTAAAATGGGGATTGAAAATTAGGAGTCAATAAGTAATTTTTTGCTTTGATATTTTGGTCTCATTTATGAAGAATTTGTTTTTAGAACATCTTTATCATAATTTTGAAAGCATTTTTATTTACTATACCTGTTTTCAGTAGCCCTTAAAAATTCTGCAGCATCATCTGCTGTGTATTAAATATTTAACTAGCACGAACACATTGTTCACCAGTTTAAAAAACAAACAAACAAGCAAGAGACTTCCTACAACCTACCAATCTGTCCAGTTCCAATGGTGTAAGTCTTCCCAGAACCTGTTTGTCCATATGCAAATACTGTAGCATTGTATCCCTCAGTCAAGGATACCAGAAGAGGCTTAATGCAAACAGTATAAACTTCCTCTTGGGTTGAGATTTCACCAAATACAAAATCAAAAGTGTAGGCATGTTCCTTCCTAAAGAGAATTTGTTGTGTATGTGGGACTGCTCTCACACAGACTTGGTGGTTATCATGTACTTCACTGGAAAGCAGAGGTCTGATTCGAACTGCAACTTTAACTGGGATCTCTTCCATGCCAGATTCCATCCCTCTGCTCCCCACTCAGTAGTCACACAGTCATGTAACTTCTACTGAAGTAGAAAGCTGACATTTCCTAAAAAACACATAAGCACCGTTATACTCTCAAAAAGTACCTGGTATAAATGCAGCTATATTAATAACTGTTAAATGGATTTACCAATTAATTTTACCTATATTAATTTCCAAGCTAGCAGACCTCAGTCTGGAAGTTGCCTGGTTTTATGTCTGAACATAATGCAGCCATAGGAAGCAACAATATCATAAGAGCTGCTTAAATAAGGCATATGCTTAAAATGAACCCTCCCATTTTCCTGTTCCTGCATTCATCCTGAGTAGCAACACAAATTAGTCAAACAAAACCTTTTTCTCCAAAAGTTGTATGTATACACACATGCATGTTATACAACTTTCTTTCACTTAAAAAAGCACCAGGACTTTGTAATTCAACAAGCACAGAGAAAGCAGTGGTGTTGCCAACCAAGGAGATGTGATTTTAAATGTAACCATTACACATAAAGCAATCCTCTGATTTTAATCCACATCTTTAGGCATGTAAGTTATTATTTTTTATTAATTATATCTTTTAGCAGCCATGGTTCCTTCTACTGCTCCCTGCGTATTCATTCTTACAATGGAAGCCCTGTAAATACCCACAAGTACCACTGTAAATATCAAGGAATAGCTGCTCTTTACAGCTGTCTTTCGTGAACATTCCAAAATCCACAGGTACCAAATGCTTCTAGATCCCAATTTTGTTTTTTTTTTTCTTCCTTGGTAATTCTTAGAACCTTTGCAGTGCGAAGGAAAATTCGTGGGACTTCCTGCCTGCTAAAATCCCAAACATTGCCTTTAAGAAAGCTTTGTCACCAAACAGGCAAAACTCAGCAGCTAAGCCTCCAAAATTCAACTTTGTTGAAAACAAACAGCTTTAAACAGTTGTCTTCTGGTTGCAAAGAGGAAAGTTTTTGCGTTTTGTTTCATTCTACCTAGTTGGAGAACTTGGCCAGCTGAGTTGAAAAAAGCAAAACGCCATTTAATTAACTGAGCAGAAGAAAAACAAATAAGAAAAGCACGAGATTGAAATCAGACTCGTATCATGAAGGCCCCGAGCATCAGAGACAGCTACATAAACTTACTAACTACAGATTCTGAACACGTTTTTGAAGAGTTCTCTTTTTATTTACCCAGGTGCATCGTTTTCCTACCCCCTAGAAAGCACTGCTCTGAAGCGCCAACACTCCCCTCTCCCTTTAAAAATTGGTATTTAAAGAGTGATTAAACCAAGCCACAGGGAAAGAAAAAGGACCTTTCACTCCAAACCTGAGAGGGGCCGGGAAATTGTACGGCCCCCG